GTTGATGAAAAAATTTACCCATCAAAGTAGTAGAACCACACAATTCACGCAACCTAGGTATAGCAGCAGTATTATTACTAGCATTATCAAAACCCATAGCAAACACCTTCTCAATCAAATTATACTCAATTAAAATACGCGCTATCAGAATATATATATTATCAGCGGTGTGACGATCATTAAATTCACAAAAAGCAAGAACACATTTATGCATTTCTCAATCATCATCAATATAATGTGCAGTCAGACCCAAATAATGTAAATGATGATAAGTATCCTCCCATATGTCACAACAAATAGTAACACGCCCATCAAAATTTGCGAAAAAAATTTGTAAACTTGCCTTTTCCGCACCATAAAGCCTTATAATTTCTTTCTTAATTATTTTGCGACTATAATTTCTAAATTGCGGATTTAAACTACCTTGAGCATAATCTCTTAAAGCAAGACTTTCAGAAAACAAATAAGGCAAATTTTCTTCAACAATTAAGTTAGACATACCACTCAAATTTTGTGCATCATTGTATGAGAAATTACCAAAAGGTTGGTTATTTGCAAACCTCGATATTTGAGTTTGTTTCCCCTTTCCTTTGTCTAATTTTGCATACTCCACGATGTGTTTGGCCCTAAGATGCCTTGCGGCGGATCTGTATCCGCCAGAAATCCCCAAGCTATAATCTTTGTGGCACCATTTGCAAGTTGCGTACTAATTCCCGGTCTCCGCATCCTTCCACTTATCAAAATTATTTTCCATAGGTTCAGATTTACTTTTTTTCTTACCGGGTTTGGATGAGGTGGGCTCGTCGTCGTCGTGGGTGCCGTCACCCTCGTCCTCGACCGTCTCCGGTTGAAGTTCGTCCGCATCGTCATCCTCGAGCTCTTCTTCGTCAATGGTCGTCGGGATGTCTTGTTGTTGGAAAATGCGGTTATTATGTTGGTCCAATTCTTGTTGTAGTTGCATGTCGGACATCGCATACCCGTCTCTCCGTTGGTAATCCGTTTCAAAATCATCTCGGGTTTGAGAAGAAGACCTGATGTGTCGTTTACCTTTAATTTGCATGTACTAGGATTATTCCTTTGGATCTCGTTCTTTCGATTGCGTTGGAGGTTGCCCATATCAACCGAACATCTACCACGATTCATCTTTAAAAATGTAAATAATATTAAATTGGAAAAAATATATTAATATGAGTAAAAAAGTAAAGCAACTTATTAAAACTATTTGAATTAATACTTCAATCTAACAATTGTAGTTTAATGAAATAAAATTCTAAGTAATATTTTTTTTATAAAAACAATTCGAGTGAAATGTGAACTACTTTAATTAAAATGTGAATTTAACTAAAATGCGATTATTATATTAATTATAGAAAATTTCCAAGTACTGAAAACCACTTTAATAAAATAATTTGAACTACTTATTTCCTTTGAAAGAAAAATTGAAACTACTATAACGTAACAATTAACTAGTTTTGTAAAGTAGTTACAAAGGTAACAATTAATTAAAATATTTAATGAACTAATGTACTACTTTAATAAAAAATGTAACAAATAAGTAATCAACTAATAATGTTTAAAAAATGTAACTGATAAGACAATTGTATGAATGCGGATACTAATTAATGGGAGTAATAGAATGTATTTAACTAGTTTTAATTAAAGTGTAACTAATATATAATATATTGTGTACAGTAGACAATTATAAGTATGAGTATTAAATCACAAGTATGTAATAAGTAGATATTAAGTATATATAAGTATATAATATGAGTAACACACTCATATATATAAATATATAATTAATATATTGATTAGATGTAATATAAGTAATATATTAGTAAATAACAAGTATATAATAAGTAGATATTAAGTATATATAAGTAGATAATTCGAAGTATATTAGTAGATATAATAATTGTATAACTAATATATAATATAATATAATGTTTATAGTATATAATATATAAGTATATTACTATAAGATGAGTAATATAATACACTTATATTTAATACTTTAATATATAAAGTATATATTAAGTAGATGTAATGTGTATGTATTAAGTAGATATTTAGTAGATAATAAGTAGAGATTAAGTAGATAATAAATATAAGTAATATAATATACGTATTTATAAGTAGATAATTAATATGTAAGTAGATATAATAATTGTATAATTATTAAATAGTAAAATAGAATGGAGAATAAGAGAATTTGAGAAGATGAAGACGGAGAAATGGAGAATTGGAGATGATTAAGAATAATAGAATATTAGAGAGTAGGAAGAGTTGGAGAAGAGGTGTACAAAAATGTATAAAAATAGGAGTATTTATAAGTTTTTTTACCCCCCCCCCCCCCCCCTCCCCCACCACAAACGCCCCGGACCCCCCCCCCCCCCCAACGGCTATATAGCCGTTTGGGACCGTTTTGGCAACGGCTAGTGCCTTGTTTGGCTGGAAAAAAAAAACTAGCCGTTAGGCCTGAACCAGGCCCAGCTGGGCCGAGCCAACTTTTGCACAGACCGTACCCGCTGCCGCTACTACCTCCGGTTCGGGTCAAAGCCTGGTACCGAGCCACATGAATCGGGCGGCCCAACCTGAGTCCACCATTAGCTCCGCCCCTGAATACAGCCAGAAAAGTAACTTCAATCTTTCTTTATCTTATTATTACACAATTCAGCGTGCGAAATCAAAGGTAACATATCCAGTGAAAAAGTTGGCTCATAAGCATTATAAGCCGAAATATAGGGTTACCAAATGGCCCGAGATGTTTATAGATCAACATTTAGTGTAAATTACCTATAAAACTTTAATTCATGAAATAGATTGCTAATTAAGTTGAATAAAGATATGTTGAATAATTCCCTCTTACCATCACATATTGAGATATCTATTGTTTCATATAGTAAACCTGAGTTATAACTCAATGATGTGTCAACCTCTTATTGGTTACTAAAAATTCTATTATCACTCATATTGAAACATTCAATTAAATTTCCGTAAGTTCATACGGTTCATCACCTCCTATTCACGCTAATTAGGCCAACTCATTTGGAGAAAAGATAGGAGATATGCCGATTTTCCAATATTATGAATTTGGAAAATCGGCATCAATAACTGCAACCACAGTGACCGCAATCGCAATACTGCCGCAATAAAAAAAAATATAGACTACAGAGTAAATATTTAATATATGATACTTAACTAAAATTAAAGAATAAATTCATACTGACTATGACCGCAATATGAAATAAAAATTCATAATAAAATTTATTAATAATGATTAAAGTATGACCACAATATGAATCACACTAGCAGTAATACTATATCGACATTTCGCTTCGCACGGCCGCAGCGGCTGCAATCACAGTAACTATGACCGCAATTTAAAATCTTGATATTGACTAAAGTAACAAATTTATGTTGTTGGTTCATAATAACAATTCATTATATTCAACTTGGATCCTATAAAAAATTCACAATATCTATTACGGAGTAATATTTTTCATTTTAACTATATCCAATTGACTTGCTACCAGGCCACCGGGTATGCCCCGGGCTTTACACTAGTAATATACGAGTACTACGTACTACAGAAGTACAGAGTATTGAATCGAGCAATACAACATAAAAGCATGTTTCCAAGTGATAATGTAATGATCAAATACATATACTAGGTGGCGTTGAAGAAGATAAAAACCCAAGATTAAAAAAAAGCAGCAATGCGGTTGAACAATTTGACAATAAAATTGTTTGGTCATCTAATTTAATTTGTAGTGATAAATGTAATGATTATATGTATTTCAAAACTAATTCTAACGAATTTGTGAAATCTTATACGGATAAAGCTGAAAACTATATTTGAACAAGGTTAATATGATAAAAATGAAATAATAAGAATATAAATGATACAAGGTGTATACAATTATACAAATGATTCAAACACTTCATAATAAAAAAAGAATAACACCACATCCCTAAGGGCCCCCTCAAAATCATAGTTATTTGTGAGGATATAAATGAACTTGATCTCACACTAATGAAAAGAAAATGAGGCTTCATACCAAGTCTTTGCTTCGAGTTTAACTTGAGATCCCTCCTTTGTGTCACTGCCTACATATCCAGCCATCTAGGGATGGACTGGGACGAGTCCGCCTGATCAAAGATCCAGCCCAGCCCGATACTGCACGGGCCTGACTCGACCCAGCCGGGTGGTACCAGGGCCCCGAACCGGCTGTTTATGGGACAGGCCACAGGCCCTAATTTTAGTGGACAAACTCGGCAAGTCAAGGCCAAATTATTATTATTTTTTACTAGTAATTTTATTTGGCATTGGGCACTGCTAGGTGGGTTGGACTAGGTGTTTTGGTGGAGTTTGGGGGGACAGGAATACATTCGAAAAGAGTAATTTAAAAGAAATGACCCGACCCAGCCTGGTCCCAGTTCAAACCCGGGCCGGTAATCCCAAAACCCAGTCCCGCCCAGTCCCAATCCAACCCAGGCCCGATCCATGCCTATTCCTATCGGGTGGGCTATGCCCCAGTTGATTCAAACACTTCATTAGTTGATTTAAGGGGAATTTTGAAATAAGTGTGACCTTGCCATATCCAAGCATGCAAGTGGAATAATTGTTCAGATGCTTAGGACGAAACTGCAATACAATTATACAGAGCATATCAAGCCAACACTACGTGAGAGCCGAGAAATATATGACCACTAGTATAAGGGAATGGGTGTCATAAAATTATTCCTTATAAGTCGGTCATTTTTAGGCAACGGGTGCTCCAAAAAAAAAAATACATAACAAGTTAATATGGAATGCATTTGTTATTCGGTCAATGTGAGTCAAGGCAGTTGCCTTCCTAGTTTAATGAGGAAAAATAAGGCATTTAGTACAACAAGCAAGTGGCCCAACTACCACAATAATGTACAATACGGTTGGCATTAAAATATAATAATGACTATAAGGGATCAATAAGGACACCTTTTCTTATACTGTAAAATGAATACGTAGAAATCCATATATACTTGGTTCAAGACCTTTTATTTGTTCATTCAATACATCTCATCCGTTTATATCCAATTTTGAGATATTTAGTCCTCTGTATCTTCACACAATGTGATCAAGAAGTCTTCCTTCATCCGTTCATTATTCATATGGATTTCTTCTGCCTTTCATTTTGATCAAGTTTTTACAATATTTCAGGTCAGCCGAAAGCTTCGTTTCTAGTAAGTTTCGTTTTCCTTGAAGCATTTTAATTTTATAATTGCCAGGTTTGAAGTGTACAAACGTAAATGTATTTTGAAATAATTTGTACATTTGATTACATCCGGGCAGTATAGTATATGTTATCCGACTGTTTTATTTTTTTGCATAAGTTTTTTTAAAATACTAATTAATTTTATTAATTAATGTTAAGTAGGTGATGAAAAATGGCAGAAGGTCGTGATTGGATGTATAAGCGTCGAAGTCGGACTTCTGGTAATCTAAACTATGAGTTTGTAGAAGGTGTTAAAAATTTCTTAGACTATGCTTTTACCATATGTCAAAACAAAGGAGAAGATATGGTGAAATGTCCATGTAAAAAATGCAAACTCAGAAAGTACTACGATAGAGATACTATTGAAACACATTTGTGTAACAATGGATTCAGAGAAAACTATTATAGATGGGATTGTCATGGTGAAGAGCTGCCAATAAACCCTTGTATATACCGAGGATATGTATCAGCTGATACAGAATCTTATGAAAATGTATCTCTTAGTGGTGATTATATTGAACAGAATCACCTATTGGGATGCACACAAATGGTTAGGGAGGTGATGTATCCATTCTCTAGTAACGCAGAAAAAGAAACTAATGATCTGAATATGTTTTATTGTGGTGATGAAGACAATGGTGATCATGGTTTTGAGAGTAATGAAATGGAGTATCAAAATATTCCAAACCAAAATGCACGAGAGTTCTATAACCTCTTAGAAGATGCATCTGCTCCTTTATATGATGGTTGCACGGATCACAACAGATTATCAGTAGTGTCTGAGCTCTTAAGCGTTAAGAGTCAATATAATATGTCTGATGCATGTTTTGACAAAGTAGCGTCACTTGTGGAACGGATTGTTCCAGGTGACAACAAATTCCCGAAGAGCATGTATCATGCCAAAAAAATGGTCAATGGATTAGGGTTGCCATATTATAAAATTGATGCATGTGAGAATAATTGCATGCTATTTGATGGTGATGATATAGATCTGGCGTAGCAAAACGTGTGGTTCATGTAGGTACTATGAAGATACGATGGATCGGGGAGGAAAACGGAAGGCAGTGGCAAAAAAAGTGTTGCGATATTTGCCAATAACAGAGCGTTTGAAGAGAATGTACATGTCATCGAAAACATCAGAATTTATGACTTGGCATACACGAGGTACTTCTTCCACTCGCACCACTATTTCACATCCATGTCATTCAGAGGCATGGAAACACGTTGATCAAACATTCCCTGATTTTGCTCTTGAGTGTAGAAATGTGCGTTTGGGGTTATGCACAGATGGGTTTAATCCAAATTCTGATTTTAGTAACCCATACTCAATTTGGCCGGTATTCATTGCTGTATACAATTTGCCTCCTGAACTTTGCATGAAAGAGCCATATATTTTTATGGCTATGTTGATACCTGGTCCTCGATCCCCGGGAAGGAACATAGATATATTTTTAAGACCACTTATTGATGAGTTGAACATGTTGTGGAATGTTGGAGTTGAAACATGGGATGCTTGTCGAAAGCAAAATTTCATGTTACGGGCATGCCTTTTATGGACCATTAGTGACTTCCCAGCATATGGAATGTTGTCGGGATGGAGCACACATGGCCGATTAGCATGTCCTTACTGTCTGGGAGATGGAGTTGCTCACCAGCTTAAGTTTGGGAAGAAGCCATGTTGGTGGGGTTGTCATAGGAGGTTTCTAGAACATGAACATGCATTCCGTCGTGACACACAATCATGGGGAATTTCGCGAAGTGAACGTAGGAGACCTCCCTCGGTACTATCTGGTGTTGAAATTTTGAGGAGTATGGAGAACATTATATTCCCACCATTTGGCTCTCAATTTGACAATATGCGTGCTGATGGATTTGGAAGAACTCACAATTGGATCAAAAGATCTATTTTTTGGGAACTACCATATTGGAAACATTTGCTTGTGCGACATAACCTTGATGTAATGCATATTGAGAAAAATTGTTTTGATAATGTGTTTAACACAGTTATGAATGTCAAGGGGAAAACTAAAGATAATTCCAATTCGAGGCGTGATATGGAGCAAATGAACATACGAAGAGAGTTGCATTTGTACGACCGTAACATGGCCACATATCAACCAAAAGCAAGTTATGTGTTAGATAAACCGAGCATAATCAATATTTGCCATTGGTTGAAGCATGAAGTTAAACTTCCTGATGGTTATTCATCTAACATTGGACATTGCGTGAACACAACTACTAATACATTTTATAGTATGAAAAGCCATGATTGTCATGTGTTCATGCAACGTCTACTTCCAATTACACTGCGCGGTTATCTAAGTTTACCAATATGGGCTACGATTTCTGAGTTCTGCAAATTTTTTAGACTTATCTGTGCAAAGGAACTTTGTATTGCAGACATCGAAAAAATGCAAGATGCTATTGCTGTTACGCTCTGTAAACTTGAGAAAATATTTCCACCAAGTTTTTTTGATTCCATGGAACATTTGACAATCCACCTGCCATGGGAGTTGAAAGTTTGTGGCCCTGTACAATTTCGTTGGATGTACCCTTTTGAACGTTTGATGAAAAAGTTGAAGGAGAAAGCAAAAAATAAACAATTTCTAGAGGGATCAATTGTTGAAAAATTCTGGGTACAGGAAGTTGCTTTATTTTGTGAACATTACTTTGATGACAATTGTGGTTCCCGCATCAATCCTCATGTTAGAAATGAAGTTCGACCTAATATGTTGGTTGTGGGGGAAACTTCTAATGATGTAGACAAATTGTCTATCTTCAAGCATCCTGTTACAAACTTTAGTCGCACAAAGAATCGTGTATTGACAAATGAAGAACTACACCATGTCCATAGCTATGTTCTGCTCAATACCCCTGAAGTTCAACCGTACATTGAGTAAGTGTGTAATTGATGTGTAATTTTATAATGTTAAATGTATGAAATTAACAAAGTTTCTTGCAGTCACTTTGAATGTCAACTTAGACAATCTTCCCCAGCTTTGAATGATTTTGATGTTGCTGAACAGAGAATGACACACTTTGCTACATGGTTTGAGACAATGGTATGATATAGTTAGGAAATTTGTACATGTTGTAAAGGATAATTTTCACTATATTTGATCAACGAAATTATTGCAGGCGCAGTTATTTCCTCAGAATTTTACCCAACAACTAATCGAGTTATCACAATGGCCAAAAAAGAAAACCATGGCATATGGTGGCTCATATGTAAATGGGTTCAAATTTCATACAAGAATGTATGGAGAGGGTAAACGCACATCTAACTGGGGCATTTGTGTACTTGGAGAAACTTCAGGTAACGGTAGTTATGATTTTTATGGAATAGTTGATGAAATTTTTGAGCTCCGTTACAAAACCAGTGTAGTTACAATATTCAAAGGAACATGGTTTGATCCAACCAATGGCGTACGACTTCATAAACCATCTGGAGTAGTTGACGTTCGTCACACATCACGATTACACCCTGAGGATCCATTTATTCTTGCTAGTCAAGCACAACAAGTTTACTATGTTAAATATCCAACAGAGGGGTTAAGTGATTGGCATGCAGTAATTAAAACAAAACCAAGACACATCATCCAAGGTGATTTTGGTACATATGATGAACCAGAAGACATAATTGATGTTGACGCTGATCAAGAAGATTTTACTGTCGAAGATGCATCTGTCTTTGATGATCCTGATCTTGAGGGCCGTGATCTCCTTCTACATGTGGGGATTGCTCCAGAAATTGTTGTTGATGAGGACGACGATGAGAATTTGGAAGATTCTGAAGAAGACATTCCAAATTATATATGACTCTATTTCCAAATAAACCTCAACACTGGCGCCCTTGTAAGACGAACGGCCGACGTGCCCTTGTAGCAAGTAGATTGTACTTAGGGGAGTTATTACGAAGTTAATAATACCTATTTACATTGCCTGCTATTACTCTTGATTCCTGATCCATCGGATAGTTGTTGGGCTAGATATTCATACACTTACTCCACTCGAAATCTTTGGGCTTACGTGTTGGGCCTGAAGGTTGAAGGAATAAACCTCAACACTGGCGTATTCCAGGTGGACCACCACATAGCCGGGCAGGTGGCGCATGGGGTTTCGTAGACGCCGATCGTCGTAGGTCCTTGGAGGATAAAACCATTGGCTGATCAGTCGCTTGTCAGCGTTCGTCAGGCGTTGAACTTGACGCCGGACGCATGAGAAGTTAAGGCTATAACGGGGAGGCCGGGGTGGCATTCCCCGCTCATAATATTCCAGGTCATCACCGGAAGAACACCCATCATCAAAACGACTTTCGGAAGACATGACAACGAACGGTACCTTGGGGTTCGAGATTTCCGATACGATCAAAGAGAAGTCTAGAGAGAGAAGGCAATTGTGCAGCGTAAGGAGAAATGTGGGTGGATCACTTGGATCCTGAGTATTTATAGGCAACACCGCGGATTTGCCCCAACCGAAGCAGGACACGTGGCGCCTGGGTACCGGTACCTACCACGGTATTTAAGGCGTCTCGATTTTATCGCCGCATAACCAACACAAGGACATTCGGGTCCATACCACGAACGTCCCTTGAGGAGGGCTCACCGGCTCGGGGGAATTTGAAGACATTCGCCCTCCCTTACTTCCTTAACTCCCCGGCTGACCCTAGCGTCGGCGGCTGATGAGGGCACACGCACCAACTGGCGACGTCCCTCTTGCGGTACACCAGTTTTTCATGTCACGCAAATATGGACGAACGTCGTCACCAGGTGCTGTTCCAGGGAAATACGCCCATATGTCCATACTCAAATGTGGACGAGCGTCTTCCCACTGTCAAGATACCGCGTGGGCGGGAAAGATGCATCAAGACGCCGGAAGGATTCCTTATACTACAGACGATGGGCACAAAAAGGGTGAAGTGAAAATCACGTCCATTAAGGGTGCACGGAGGACGAACGTCGCCTTTCCATACTCCGGACCCCCTTGCGCGGGGCTTTAGCGTTCATACCGCGAGACGATAGAAGAACGTCGTTAGCAAGCATTGAGGCAATCTCCGATGTGCGTACGACCACACTTGCAAAGCGTGCTGTTTGGTCAACCCCCGACGAGCGTCGTCTTGCCATCAGAATGAGGTTGCAGGAGGGGCAGCCAGAATCGGCGCCGGGTGTCGCCGACCGGAGACGGACCTTAACACTGGCGCCACGCACTAGATGTGTACAGGGTTTTGGCAGAGGAACGCCCCTGCCCCCAAGCCAAGTGAGGAACAGAGATGAACGTCCGCGCAGACCAGGCGACGGAGAATGTTCCCAGAGCAAAGGGGGAGTTTCCATACAACAAAGGACAAAAGGAAGAAAATAACGAGGCAGAAATCATGAACATAGAACAATTATGGGGCAAAAAGACGTCTGTATTCTTCGGCGCTTACGGCCGGACATTACAATAGCCGGGATGGAAAAATGTAAATGACATTATACAAAGAAAGGGGACCCTGGGCGGCTGCTGCCCTTGTTCGGCTCCTCCTCCTCTTCCTCAGGCTCGGGGGTCGGCGGCTCTGGAATCTCCCCCCTGGCCTTGGCCTCCTCCCGGCGCTGATCCCTCCTCAGTTTCCCTAGCGCCTGGATTAGGAGATCGTCATCCGTGTTGGCCGCCAAGTCAAAATCAGGCCCCAGCAGCTTGGCGAATGTGGGTAGGGTGGCCTTTACCCCTTCATTATAGCCGGCGGCGAAGGTGCTGTCGCCGACCTCATATAGGAACTTGCGAGACAGGGGGGAGCCCTCAAGGATCCGGACGCCGCGGGCCAGGCGCTGGCGGGGCGGAATCTTCTCCAGAGCTGCGGCGAACAAATCGGCGAAAACCCCGGCGCAGTAGTCCTTGGCAGAGTCCATGAACTCCCCAGTGTTCCGGTAGCCGGAGGTGTCAACCAACCACTCCGGAGTGGCATCCTTGGCGGCAGGGAACACCGGAACAAGCTTAAAACCGGCTCTTTCAAGGCCGGCCATCTGGCTGTGGGACTCAGCCTGCAGAGCGGCAATCTCCCTCCCTTTGGCTGCGGCCTCCGCCTCAGCTCGACGGGCGGCCTCCCGTACCTCGGCAACGGCCGCGTCAGCTTTAGCCTTGGCCTCCTTCAGGTCGGCCTCCCGGGCAGCTTCAGCTTGAAGGACAAGGAGCCCAGACTGGATGACAGAAGAAAAAAAAATTTAAGGATCAAAGGATGAACGTCAAGGAAAACATATATATGCTCAGATCTAGCAAGGAGGAATTACCTGAAGAGCGGCTGCCAGCGCAGCGCTTGTAGCCTCGGACGACGAACGGCGGGGCAGCTCGAGACCGGCCTTGAGGGCCATCTCCCTCCAAAGTTCTTCCGCCGGGCGGCTCAAAGGCAGGGACCCGGCATCTTCAAGAAGGGGGCCAGTGGAGCCTGCCTCGCGGCCCCGCTTCTGTTTCTTCTCAGGGACCCTCTCTGTCCCCTTCTGAGGAGCCGTCTTCGTGGGGACGACCGGCGGCGGAAGGGCGGCTTCGAGAGCAGGGGCCCCGGAACCCTGGGCCAGCATGGTGGCAATTAAATGTTGCTCACCCTCGGCGGTTCGCCTGGCAGCATCAGAGGCCGAGGAGTTGGACTCCGAGGCGGGGGCGTTTTTGGCTTTCGCCATCGCAGCTTTAGCCGCGGCCGCCTTGGCTTTCCTGGTCTTCAGACACTCGGCGTGATTCATTTGGTCTCTATCGGGCGGTGGACCTGCAAGAAACAACAAGTATTAGAAGCCGAGCGGGAAGTAGAATAAGACACTCACCTCGAAGGACAGGACCGCCCGGGCCCCGAGACGAGCGTCGAAGGGTAGAAAAAGTCCAGGAACACGGGCGGTACCTATGCCTGCCCCAGAGAGTGCCTCGAAGGTCAGAAATCCGGCTATGGGACGGACGCCACCCTCCAACACCTTCTCCGCATCCAAAAGCAGATCGTCGGTCGGCTCCGATGACTCAATCTTTGGGGGATACCCATTCCACCGGAGAGGGAGAGGAGGCCCGTCGTATCGAAGGAAGAAGAAGCGGTTCTTCCAGTCGTGGATGGACGAGGGGTAGTTCTTGAACAGCCGCCTCCCAGGACGTGCGGCCACGCTCAGATACCCGTCGGCATTCTGAGGAGTGACGCGGTAGAAATAATGGAAGAGCTCCAAAGTGGCGTCGACCCCCGCAAGTTGGCAGCGCACCAGGAAGGCCGATATAAATCGGTAAGAATTTGGCACGAATTGCGCCGGAGCCACCTGGAAGCAGTGGAAGAACTCCACATAAAACGCATGAAGTGGAAACCGCAGCCCGGCTTCAACGGAATCCAGGTGGAGCATGATCATCCCCGGACGTCTCCTCATCACATGCTCAGCGCCTCTCACGCTCCAGACGAACGGCGGAGGAAGGAAGGTGCGGATTTTATTGAGGGCCACACGGGAGAGGACTTGGTCGTGGTCAAGGGCGCTCCTAATCGGGCAGATGTGACGCTCCATATCCGTGGGGATACCCAGATCATACACCTCCATATCAGAACCGGATTCGGCTTCCTCTCCAGAATCATAATCAGCAGGACGCTCATTCAGGGGGACTGCATCAATAACATCCACTGCCCCATCGGCGTTCCCGTCCCCGGCGTCGCTCCCACTATCTTGAGGCACATCATCCGGCTCGCCATCAGCCCGGATGGTCCCCACCGTCGTGGCCGAACCAGAGGTTCCGGAAACACTAGTTTTTCCCAGGGAGCGTGCATTAGCATTTTCAGAAGAGGAGCCCGAGGAGGAACCCGACGAACCGGAATCAGAACTTGAGGAAATCTCCATCGAAGTCATTCCGGCTAGAAATCAGAGTAAAGGAAAGAAGCAGAGGGGGGAAATTACCTTACAAAGGTATGGTTGGCCGGATTCAGGAAACTTGAAGAGCTGCGGAAAATCGAGAGCAAAAGAGCAGAAATTGGGAACCCTAATTCAGAGGGCAAACCCAGCATTTATAGGGGGAACACCGATGGAGGAACCAACGAGGGGCTGACACGTGGCAAGGAGCGTATTCCGGCCCACGCGCTGTGCGTGGGATGGGAACGTAATGATGACACTTCCTCGGGAAAATGCGCCGCCGCAACATCAGCCGTCACCTCGTTTCCTGAACCGTCAACAGCTGTCAAGCATCATGACCACGAGCGTACGTTTCCACCAAGATGCAATGAACACAAGTACCAAGATACGGACGTCTACTTCGGGGAGGTTCATACTTCCTTATGTCCTGCGCATGCTCAGAACATCAGAAGTGGGGGACTTGTGTTGGGTTAAGGGCCCAAGCCGAGGTCCGGCCCACTAACCCATTTTGCCAGACGAGCGTCCAGCTAGGAACTAGGCCAGCCCACAGGCCCACGTTCTTTAAGAATGGACGAACGTCTGGTGTTGGAGGACTCAGGCCCAGCAGCTCATTCCGACGAACGTCTATGCAGGGACAAGGAGCAGAGCCACGGGCCACCAGGGATGGCGACGAACGTCCCCAGAGCAAGCCTGTAGTCATCGAAGAAAACCCAGTGCACATGGTGAGTATCTATCAAGGCCAGGAGACGAACAGCCAATACCCCTCAAAGGTCACTTGGAGCAATCCAACTCAATTCCCGGGTGGACGGACGTCCCCACCGATCCGGCGGGAAACCTAGATTCTGGCGGGAAGTGCATTTAATGCTAAAGATTTGGTAGTTGGGACACCAGCGGTCCACAGGCTGCCACGTCAGTACAGCCACCTGCCCATTGGCGGGTATAAATAGAAGCATTTATTTCATTGAAAAGGGTTGGCAACTTTCTATTCTTAGCATACTAGCTTCAGCATTCTTTCTTGTAGCATTTCTAGCTGCCTTGTAAGACGAACGGCCGACGTGCCCTTGTAGCAAGTAGATTGTACTTAGGGGAGTTATTACGAAGTTAATAATACCTATTTACATTGCCTGCTATTACTCTTGATTCCTGATCCATCGGATAGTTGTTGGGCTAGATATTCATACACTTACTCCACTCGAAATCTTTGGGCTTACGTGTTGGGCCTGAAGGTTGAAGGAATAAACCTCAACAGTTTTAAATTGTTAGTTTTTAAATAATAATTGTCGTTAAGACTTATTAATCGATAATTTGTGAAGTATTCAGTTATATAACGTTTTATCCAATATAACAACTTACCAACTTAGAAAGTTTTTATTTGGACTAAAATTTTCTAGTTTGGTCTTAACTGATCTGATATTGTAGATGTTTAGTCTATGTGTAATTTATAACTGCGGATTTCTGGTTTGATCAGTCCGAGACCAGATCAAACCAGATTAGACCAAACTTGTATAATTATAAAAATACATTTGTACGAAGACATTACTAGACCAAACTAGACAAACAAATTACATTTCAAGTAAAAACATCATTTTAATAATCATTAAAATGATTTTTGTCCATAACACTTTTATTAGTACTCCCTCCGTCACCCTAACTTTGTCCCGTTTTACCTTTTTCGTCTGTCCCATTAAGTTTGTCTCATACCATATTTGGTAATATTTGAGTTGTTGGAATTCATTCTTACTTTATTAACACAATTCTACTTTTTCTTAAAAACCACACCATACCACTTTGTCTCAAACTTAGGGGGACAGAGGTAGTAATAATATTTAAGGAAAAATGTTTCAAATAAGGTATACATATTTTTGGATAAATTTCAAAGTCTAAAAGTAGGAATGATCTCAAGTGCACATTTTTTTCTTTCACACTCCCTTTTCATCTCCGTTAAGAGTATAGGACCAGTTAGACTCATTGACACAGCACCTAGGTGGAATTAGTATATTTGGAAGACAATAGCTGTATAGTATCTAAAGTTACTCCAATACTAATGAACTACAGGATGTGCCTCTTTTCTATGTATACAGTCCTGGTGTGTTGTTCAATTTTATTTCTGGGACTATAGTGCAATGCTTGCAGCCCCTTTATAGGAATAAACTTGAGTCCTATGAAGGATTATAAATAATGTCTTTGATGTTATATGTTGACCGTGGTGTTATTCATTCTTGCTAGAAGAAGTCATGTCTTCAAGGGCTTATGTTCGTGGTGGTGGTCATCACGCGATTCGTGGTCGTTCAAATAATGGTTCCGTAGTTGGTAGTGAAAGGCACCGATACTTGTCAGGGGTACATATAAGTAGCCAGAATGTTGATCACTCACCCATGACCCCCCCATCAAATGCAATCAACTCATTTGCTACAAATACGAGGGATGAACCATTTACGCAGCCTAATGTCACACAACAAAGTGTCCCCTCCACACAGCCCCGCGATCATATTGTACTCGGCGAGTAAGAAATTTATTTTAAACACTCAACTATTCTTGTAATGCTTCAACTATAAATGCGGCTGATATATTGTTGTTATTAAACTTTCATTTTTTTTTGTAGTCTCAAAGTAAATGATAAAGTGAAAGTCTTAGGAAACTATTGCCACAAAGTTGTTTACCGGATGGCCACCCAACTATGGAAATTTAGAACCTAAAGATCGCGAAGAATACATTAAACAATTCTCGGTAAATACTTATAATATTTACTTGCACTGTTTTTTATACCTTCTAACTATTGTGGTTGGTATGCAGAACGAATATAAATGGGCACCGTCAGATAATGGGTTAATGAGTTCCAAACTTCATTCAAAGTTTTCTACTCGTTATACGGCGCGCTTGTCAAATATCAGACAAAATGTTCAAGAAAAAATTCCGGATTTTCTTGATGACCAGGATTATACTAGATTCATTCCCTTCCGACCAGAGCTTGTAACCCCTCAAACATGGCTAAAATTATGCGACTATTGGAACACCGATGAATGGAAGAAGAAGTCTGGAATTGCGAAGCGTAATCGTGTTGGTAAGATAAATCATCCAGTGTGCATTTAGTATATGAATTTAAGTTGGCAGATTGAGCTTTTATTTAAATAAAATATAACTATGGTCTAGTGTATTTGAGACAAGGAAAACTACAATAAATGTGTAGGAAACCTTGGTGATGGAGAAGTTACTGCTAAGACAAAAGGAAGAAAGTCGAAAGAGGATTTCTATTCTGAGCTCGTAAGTAGTTAAAGTTGTTTTGGGTTGTTTTTTTGGGATGTGATGTACTGTGTATAATTTGTATTCATTTTTTAAATTCTGTATTAGGCATTAGAACTTGGCCGAATTCCCACGATGGAAGACTTTGGTGATAAGTGGTGTACAATTGACCCTGCAACAAACCAGCCGCTTCAAACAACCTTTGCTCGTTACATGGTATGATGATTGTTAAAAAGTATTTTTGGGGGTGTTCTAGCCTTTATCCTTCTGAATGTTCATCTAATTATTATTTTCCATTTGTTATTATAATTTGGGAAGAGCATAGTTTTGCATTATAACACCCTTACTGGAAAAAAAATCAAACATTACATGGAAGCTGCATAAATGAGGAAATTTTGTTATAGTTTTATTAACTTTTATAATCTGTCATAAATAGTCTAATTATATTGTAGGCAATATATCGTGAACGCATGAAAGAAAAATATGGACCGGAGCGGGCACAACATCCGACATTTGACTATGAGATCTGGATTGAGATTACTGGTCCTCAAAAAAAGGGACGATTAGTTGGCGTACCACAACAATTATCTCATCCTCATTTGTTTCGGCCATCAAAACCAGAGGAAGTATACACTATGTTTTTTTAAAGAAGGTATCCACTGCATATTAAATTCTTCTATTTATTTTCTGTTTATAACTAAAACCCACTACTTATAAATCTTTTTATCCAAACTATTAATTTAGAATGTTAATTACTCTACTTTCATTTATTCTCAATCACTTTCTCTTTAGCAGAGATGGTTCATCTGCTATCATTTTCTTACCCATTGATCTAATATTCTAATTCTTAAGTACTCTGCCCTTCATATAAAAATTGCCCATGACTGCATTTTTTTATTACTAACTTGTTATGATCGAATGTAATTGCTGTTTTAGGATTCAGTATTGGAAATGGGATGAATCACAATGTAGTAAATCTATTTTATCCGTTCAGCAGATTTTTTACTACTTCATGTTATTTACTCTATATTGAGGTGGAGGCATGTGACAATATTAATAGCAAAGTGATGTCCAAATTCATTTGTTGGTTTTTTCTCAATACTCCAGTTGTACCATGATAACAATTCATTCCAAAGTCATTCTGTTCTGCTCTTTGAAACAAAAAAGTATGTGCTTACAGTTTATTTGCTCCTTTCAAATGTTTTTTTTGTTTGATTTTTTACAAAATATGATCATTACAATATTGCAGGATCGATCTGTGAGTTTAGAGCGCCAATTTGTTGAGCTCAAGACCCAAATGGAGATGATGCAGGTTGAAATGTCTGAGCTCAAGGCAATAATTCAAAAATTGATGGAAGAAAATCTAGAGCAAAGAACCCATTTCAAATCTTCTATGAGCAATATTTGGGGTCATCTGATGAATATGGGCGTTGTTACTCCGAATACGATCCCATTTAATTTAGTTGCGGGAGAAGGGTATCCATCTCAACAACACCCGCCTTCTATGTTTGGGCAACCGTCACTACCCCAACAACCATTGCCATTCCGACATCAACAACCTGCATCCTTCAGCCAGCTTATTCAGATGAACTACGCCCAAGCACAACATGAGACTTTGGGGGATCAACCTGCACAGTTTGGTATCACTGGTTTCACACAACCGACATCGTCTAAAAGGCGCTCAAGAGCGCCTCCAATCCTTGCAAATCAACCAATCCTTGCACCACCTATTCTTCCAATGCGGCGTCCTCGCGAGAGCTCATCTAGCGATAATTCCGATGATGATGAGGAAACTGATGATAGGAATGATGATAGTTAGTAAAAAATATAATATGTTTAGAATTTTCGGTTTAAGACTGTTTTGTGTTCTATGTTGTTTGCTAAGACTCCATTTTTGTGTTGTACTAAAACAGTTTCCTTCAACTGGATATGTAAACATTAGTATATTTTTAATACTTTGTGTTCTAAAATTATCACTCAATAATACCAGAAATTATTAGATTTCACCGCATTTGTTTTTATATGTTACATTCTTATATTGGTGTATAAATGTATTACTGTTATACCTCTACGTATACGAAGTACTGTAAAGTAATACGATAGTACAGAGTACAAATTCTATGATGTATTTGATGAATATACGTATACGTTTATGAGGGCCTATCCCTTATTAACCTGTTATTCACAGAAATGGTTCCTCCAGTACACGTTGAAGCATTATAACGCAATTGTGGTTATAAATTCCTCATGCCTAATGACCGAAACAAGCAGTCATACGCCGTTATAGCTGTGGGGTTCAAGGAGCATTTTTATAACAGATTTCATAACAACGATTTCCCTTATTATATATAACAAAAAAATGACGGATCCCTGGTTATTACCATATTTTCATTCACGTAGTGCAAGTACTGGGGACAATCGTCGGTGATCATCAGAGACGATTACGTGACTCCATTGAACACTAGTGTTTGGAGTTAGAAGTTAGAGCTGGGACGCTGGGTATTGAATTTGAGTCAACGTGCTCCTATAATGCAAATGGTCCAGAATACCTAGTACTTCGTATTATATTACCAAATACCAATAAATAATGATACTCCGTAATCAATTGAATATGCTGAAGAATTTCATGGTTGTACAAATTTGATGGATGATAATAATTTGTGTTTTATGATAAAAAATATTGAAATTTATTTACATTTTATTTATAAAAGTTACATTAATTTTAAATAATTTGGAACATAAACTTAAAGAATTAAATAATATCTCGTGCATCCCACGAGATATAGTAACACACTATATACCGTAATAAAACCTATAAACATACTAGAAAACTTGTAACCACTTCTTCTTTAACCACTCTAGCCAATTCAATACTCAGTGATCCTCTCCTTGGTAAGACATATTCCGCTCAATAGTTTCAGAACCAACAATAGGATTTGGATTCTCTCTATGATCTTTGGGATCAGATTCCATTAAACGATTATTAGTATTACCTGATTTAACTGTTATTCTCACTGGTCTGCCCAGCATTGACTTGTCCTCCATTCTTGCTATTTCAATAGCCCTTTCGCATACTGGATACCCTTGATCATCCCAAGAATCCATGATGACACCAGAGCCAAGACAGGTTATCCCATCATAGAAAGCAGCAAACTGTCCTGCTGCCAGCCCTTGGTCATCTTGAGACAGCTGGACAATACCAACTGTTTTACCATTGTTGTCAACTTCCATTGCCAAATTACAGTTGTAGAGAGTGGGGCCATGGCGAACCTATAAAATTGTTGCTATAAATTGAAGAATTTAACATATAAATGGTCTAAAATTGACATGTCAAGTGATGTTATCAAGGTGATTGATTGTTTCCACAACACACAAGCTTAGACAGAACATAAAGCATGTAACTTGCCTTCTCTTTTGTATATTCATCTTTATCATATCCTTTTAAGCTTTTCTAATTTTTTTTTATCTTCGTTTTCTTTTTATCTTCTGATATTATTATCTTTTTTATCCTTTTTTAGCTCTCATTCATATTAAGTCATGTTAGCCGACTCCAAACTCTTTTGGGACTTCAGACTTGGATGTTCTGTTTGTATCAGCTACAGTTTATGTCCAACACTAATAAAACAACAACAACATCCAAGCCTTACAGTTTATATCCAACACCGGTCGGGGCGGATTTAACACAAGAATTTCATGCATGAGCTTTTCTTCTAATAATGATCGGGAACAGGGGCAAAGCCAGGGACTGGGCCGGACTGAGCCGGTACAAAGAATATCTTTAAAATTTGGGCTGGGCCAGGGCCAGGGCTGGCCCTCCCCTAGCTAAGCCCCTGATCGAGAATTTAAAAGTCTGATCAAATAAAGAGAATGTAACAAAGAGGATGGGGTGATCAAAGAACCCAAGGCATGTCTAGCTCAGAGAAAAGAACTTGCCTACCTTGCATTGAAGTTGATTTGCATGTGCAGGATAGCTACCACTTTGCCATTTCAGCGATCCAACACGAAATAGGCGTCTTTTCTTATCAGCTGAGAAGTAGTTTCTTGACACAAACACCACATTATTCTTACTGTCTTTCTCTACAACGTACCTGTATTCAATAGAAAGATGAAATGCAGAGATGATAACACATAGATGAAATGCAGAGATGATAACACATTATGCCTACATGTTTACTGCATCAAGTAAAAAAACACTCCCTAGATGACATATTATTTGTTTTCCTATGATGGGTCAATTACTCATGTTTCCTTTGATATGCTAGTGTGTTAATGTAGGTGACAATAATGCATAGAGATGATTGTATCTAAGTAGTTAAATCAGTACAGAGTAAATCATAAACACTTTTTAAAGATGCATCATCTAATCAATCATATTGCAAATTACTTTTAAATTAATACTCCCTCAGTCCCTTTTTAGTTAGGCGTCTTTGACTTTTACAATTAATGATGCTAAACTTTGAATGATAATATATTTATATACAGAGTATTTGTATTATGAAAATGATATGAAAATGTTATTTGTTAAAAATACTATCATAAAAGTATAAAATTTATAACTTTTGCAAATATATAATACAAAGTAGATAAAATGAATGACCATAGTTTACCATCACTGACTAGAAAAGTCAAATATGTTTAACTAAAAAGGGACAGGTTGTATATAATAACAAAAACATAGAGGTCCAAGAGCCCAAGGTTGAGGCCAAAAAATGGTACGAGAAGACGATCTAGAAAGATCATACCATGGTCCCCCAGGAAGCCGTAGACCTTGTCGTTGACCAATAGTGTAGAACCAAAACCCTCTGTGCTTTCCGAGATAATCCCCTGTTTCAGCTTCTAATATAATCCCTTCTACCTCCCCGATGTGTCTTGCAACAAAATCACAAAACTTTATCTGTAGAGCAATTGACATAAAAATAAGATGATGAACTATAAAAAAATACTTTGAAATGCTTTTTTTTGTGAGAGAAGTAACTTCTTCAGAATAGTGACAGACATACAAGTCCTAGCTAGAATTGTTACTTGTTCTTTGACAACCTAGATGGCTTTATCAGGTAAATGGGGAGTCAACTCCAAAGTTTAGTAGTGTGAGGTCCCTTGTTTGATAGAGGTTTTTGAAGAAGGGAAGGGAGAAAGTGGAGGAGTTTGTGGGAGGGGGGAGGTAGGGAGGAAAGAGAAGAGAGGAAAGTGGATGAGATATAGACTTCTCCAAAATCCACAGTTCCACACTCCGCATATCATATTCCCTTATTTGGGGTATTTCGTAGGACACACATTTTTTTCTGAATTCTTCCTAACCTTTTATTTATCTACATTATTTTCATACAGTTATACATATAGATTACTATATTTGAAATTGCAATAAAAAGTGCACTACCTTTGTTCCACGGCTTTCATGTGAATAAAGGATATAGTTGTTTTACAATTGTAGACTTTTAGATGGAAGAAAAAGTACTACGGATCCATTTATAGTAAAAGGTGAAATGATGCATAAAAGGATAAATTGGAAAGAAAAAAGTTACATACGAAAGTTTATCCAACAAAACCGGAGAGAGGGGATTAAATATAAATATTTTATACGAAGTATATATACTAAAATAATGTGTAAGTCATCATCACCCCTCCATTGAACCAAACGTTGCACCTTTTAAAACTGTTCTACTTTCCCATCCTCCCTCATTATGAAGCAAACATAAGCGAAATGAAGGCGGAGAAGGAAATAAGTTGGACCACCTCAACATTTTATGTTATACTACCTCCGTCCCTTAAAACTTTGCCAAGTTTGACCGGCACGGAGAATAATAAAGTAAAAAGTGTGTTGTTGAGGTTTGTGCAGAAGTGAGAGAAATAATAGGAACCACAAAATAATTGATTAAAAAGGAAAGTGGCAAAGTTTTTTGGGACGTCCCAAAAAGGAAAGATGGTCTTTTCAGAAAGTAACACAAACCTTGCCAAGAAAGCATATTCCCTGTGAATCTTTACGGTCCTGGTTTGGGAGATCAAATAACTTCGCAAGTTTGCGCACCTCTTCCTGCAGATATCAAATATATCAAGAAACAATTTTATAAAAATATATTCAATGACTTCTTGTTTAAGAAAAATATTGATCTCACCTAACCTTTGGAATACATCCAAGAGGGAAAATAAGTCGCTTAAGCTGAGACTGTGAGAGATGTGATAGGAAGTATGTTTGGTCCTTTACCTGCAACAGATATATGACAAATGAAGAACTGAGCTCAGTGCAACACTAAACAGACACTAATGATTAATTGACTAGGAATCCAAGGTATCAAAGAATATACAGTATATTATGAATCCTATGCCATTTTATTTTTGCTGGATTTAACTGCTCTCTAAAGGTGTATTTGGTGTATAAACTGTAAAATACTGGGGATAGGAAAATAGCATCAAAGAAAGTTTTGTTCTCACCTTAGGTTTTATCCCAGAAATTCGCATAAGAAATGAGATATGATTGTTACTTTGATTAGTTGATAGTTTCATTTTTTAAGATATTTAGATTTCTTAGTCTGTAAGAGTAGACATAAATTAATAAAATGAGTAATAACATTCATCTAAAATAATTATTGAGTTATATATTTTCTTTTATTTCCCCCAAAATTATCTTTCCTTCCAATTTCTCTCCATGTTCTCCTTCCCTTTTTCTTACCCTGGAATTCTATGTGATCCAAAAAAAACCTTAATATCACTTATTGCAATGTCTATAAGCATGGTAGCTTTGGAATCAGTTTGACACCCGTAGCCAGATCCTAAGCTACTAGTGAGGTTGAAGTGTTTTCCGTAAATAGTTGAAGTTCTACTCCCCCATTTCACAATAAGTCAACAACAGTTGTTTAAAGATTAAACACACGAGTTTAAGAAGCTCAACAGATATGCTCAAAAATTGCAAAAATGTAGCACTATATGCAAAGACCTAGCTTGGCATTAGCAGATTAGCTATTACCCTCTTCTTAGATCTAATATAAACTATTT